TTTTTTTTTCGCGCAACTCAGTGTTCATTTTAGGATCTTAATTGTAGGGTTTGTAGCTCATAGGTAAATTGATGTACAGATGATGAGAGTTAAGGTTTGAGCTTTTGCAGATAGATGGATTGTTTTGATGTTGGTTTGGGATAAAGCAGGAAGTTTCTGTGCATCTATGCTAGAGAAAAAAAAAAAATGTTATCTCTGAGGATTAATAAATCTGCATTTCTTGATGAAGAATTTACTGAAATTAGTGGAGAAATTTAGATAAGCTTGCTCGATGAAGAACCGCGCGAAAACGACGATTACATTCACATCAGCGAGATTAATGGAGAATCACATTCTTGCTGAATGTGTATTATTTTGTTGTCTGTGAACGCGTTCAAATTTATTTTCGTGCAGTTGCTGGTGGCTGGTGGTGGCATGTACGTGGAGGTTTTCAACAGAGGCATAATCCCGCTGTCCTACGACATCAGGAGGAAAAATAGAGATGGCGAAACAAACACTTACATGGATGGTATTTTCCTTCTCTTCAAATATTTCACCAAGCCCGAGTCCATTTCCATTCTGAAGGAGACTGGGCAAGCTGATGATAATGTTATTAGATCATCTACTTTCAAGGTACGGAAGAGGAAATTGTTCTAAGGATTGAATTTCCGGGTCGAGAATATGGTGTTTCTTTTTGGGCAGTCGAGTCAAGTTGTTCCATGCTTTGTAGAACTAGGTTGTGTGCTTCTTTTGCTCTCCATTTGAATTGGGTAAATTTCGACAAAGCTTGGTTTAGAGGTAAAATGAGGTCGGAAGCTAATGAGAGGGGGAGTAAGCCGACGTGCTTGTGTTCGTCATGCTTTTGTTGTAACTTTTTTTTTTTTTTTTNNNNTTTTTTTTTTTTCCGGATATGTTCATTTATTAATTCTACCTACACTTGCAAGACTTTTTTGAGTTGGAGGTTGTTGAAGATCATGAGTGTGTGTGTGATATAATTTCTAGCAAGTGTATTGAGCTAACAGTTATAACTGCAGTTTTTCCTTATTCTTTTCTCTTCCATTGGTTAAAAACGTGTTTGCGTTTTAATAAGTAGGGAACGACGTCGTCTTAATTCCTATCACTTAGCTTGCCAGGCGACGTCGTTTGGGAACTGCATGATACTATAAATGCAGCTTGTATGTACGAATTTTGGGTGTGAAAAATGAAAACAAAAATTGTTTCTTAGCTCATTTTATCACATGGTACCAGAGCGCGTAACGATCCTGTGAAGCTCTGAATCGATCGTCAATGGCGGCTAATCGAAGCATTGAAGCATGGCCACTGCTGAATGCGCGAGCCACCGGAACCCTAGAACAACGAGAGGACAATCCTCTTTACTTATCGGGATCGGATAATCCAGGTATGGCGATAGTCTCGCATCCTCTCAATGGAACTAATTTCATAGCTTGGAAGCGATCTATGATGATAACACTTGGTGCGAAGACAAAACTAGGTTTCATCAATGGAACGATGGAGATGCCTGAAATAACTGATGCGAGTTTTGAAAAATGGCGAAAAGTGGATTGGATGGCAACCTCGTGGATTTTGGGGTCAATGTCCAAAGAGATTGTTGATTCCTTCCTGTTCTGCGAGACGGCCAAGGAACTCTGGGATGAGATATGTCAACGATTTGGTGAAAGCAATGGTCCACTGATATATCAGTTGCAGAGGGACATTGCAAGCTTGAAGCAGGGAAATGATGCTGCAATGGTGTATTTTAACAAGTTAAAGAGAATGTGGGACGAATTAGGGCACTTGGTTCCAGAACTGACCTGTAAATGTGAGATTGGGAAGGCACTTGCAGAACAAAAGATGCAGTCAAAGCTAATGCAATTTCTTATGGGACTTAATGATAGCTTTGATCATATCAAAAATCAAATGTTGATGATGGATCCTCTGCCCACAGTAAATAAAGCATATTCAATGGTCTTATCTGCAGAAAGACAAAGGTTGGTTCAGTCAACTTCTGGGGACCTTAATGCAAGTATGGCTATGGCAGTGAGGTCCAACAACTATGGTAAGGAGAATAACAATAAACCACAGTTCATGAATCAAAGAATGGGAAGAGAAGGACAAAGGCTCACAAAAGAAGAAAAATTCAAGCTCATTTGTGAGCACTGTGGAAAGAATGGACATGAGAAGAACACCTGCTTCAAATTGCATGGATACCCTGAGTGGTTCAAGGAACCAAAGGACAAAAGGATGACAGGAGCAGCAAACTTGGTGCAGGCAGAAGGAAATCCCAAACCTCAAGGTAATGCAGGTAATATGGGACCAGACATATCTGCCTTAGCACTAGAAGTAGCAAGGTTGATTGGAAAGTTACCAAATGAAACAGAAAAAGGAAAGTCATATAGAGAGGAGGAGCATTATGTGAACTTTGCAGGAAATGAGGTAAGAGAGGAGAGGCATTATGCTTTATCCATGTTTGATAAAGTGAATAGCAATGCTTGGGTGATTGACACTGGAGCCAGCAGACATATGTGCATAAATGATAAGTTGATGAAGAATTTGACAGCCTTGAAAGCACCTGTTGTTGTATATTTGCCTGATGGAACAAATAAGATGGTAACTCATGCTGGAGAGGTGGTAATTTCAGGGGACCTGATATTAAAGGAAGTGTTATTTGTGCCATCCTTCAAGTACAATCTTTTGTCTGTTACACAAGTGTGCATGACATCTCATATAAAGTGCAGTTTCACATCTGGAGGGTGTAGCTTGCAGAATCAGAGAACTGGAAAAATAGTGGCAACAGGAGAGCTCAAAGAGAGATTATATATATTGAGTCATGACACAAAGGAGATGGTAACAGGTCTGAGCTGCAAGACATCACTGGAACAATGGCACAAGTGCCTTGGGCATGCTTCTTTTGGAGTCCTAAAACAACTGGATTTTCTTAAGGGACAGTGTGATGAGAAAGGAGAGAAGAGTTTAAAGGAGTGTGATGTGTGTTATAAGGCCAAACAACACATGTTGCCATTTCCTACTAGCAGTATCAAAACAAAGGAATGTTTTGTTCTGATTCATGTTGACATCTGGGGACCATGCAGAGAAGATTCCATTACTAAAACTCCCTACCTCTTGACTATAGTTGATGATTTTAGCAGAAGTCTGTGGGTGTACCTTATGGGAAGCAAAAGGGAAACTGCTAGTTTGATCAAGAATTTCATAACACTGGTGCACACACAGTTTGGCCAGAAAATCAGACAGGTAAGAAGTGATAATGGGAAGGAGTTTCTAGGCAATGATTGTCAAAAACTGTTTGAAGACTATGGAATCAAACATCAAAGGACATGTGTGTATACACCTCAGCAGAACGGTGTGGTTGAAAGAAAGCACAAGCAACTTCTGGAAATTGCAAGAGGACTGATGTTTCAGTCAAACATGGACATGAGTTACTGGCCTTATGCAATACTCACAGCAGCACACATAATAAACAGGCTGCCCAGTGTAACTTTGCAAGGAGAAACACCATTTCAAAGAGTGTATGGTGAGGCACCATACTATTATAGGCTTAAGCCCTTTGGATGCTTGGCTTATGTAGTTAACACAACTCCCAATAAAGGAAAATTTGATCAGAGATCTTACAAGTGTGTGTTTCTTGGCTATGCAAGAGCATGCAAAGGATACATTCTATGTGATATCAACCATGGAAGGATATTTGTGTCCAGAGATGCAGTGTTCCTCACAGAGACATTTCCTTATCAGCAAAATAAGGAGAAAGTTGATTCTAACACACCTTTGCCTTTGATCAGAGAAGAACCAGGTGCAAATGAAACCGTGGAAAGAGAGGGAAACAATGAGCAAATTACACAGCCAGATGGGAAAAGAATTAGAAAACCACCTGCTTGGATGAAGGACTATGTTTGTCCCACCATTGAAGCTCAAAATACTCAGGGTGATGCAGCATTCATGACAAATGTTGGAGCAGAGCATGAACCAACACATTATAATCAAGCTAGGAAGGATGAGATGTGGGTCATTGCCATGAACCAAGAGCTGAAAGCTTTGGAAGACAATCACACTTGGGAACTGGCTTATTTACCTCCTGGGAAGAAAGCCATAGGTTCTAAGTGGGTGTACAAGATAAAGAGAAGAGCTGATGGGAGTGTGGAAAGGTACAAAGCTAGATTGGTGGCAAAAGGATTCACACAAGTGGCACGAGTGGATTATTTTGATGTGTTCTCACCGGTGGATAAACTGGTTACAGTTAGAATGTTCATTGCTATAGCTGCAATAAAAGGTTGGAGTATATGGCAGCTTGATGTCAATAATGCCTTTCTCCATGGCACTTTGACTGAGGAAGTGTATATGAATATCCCTCAAGGTTATAACAAAGGGAAGGATGGACAAGTCTGTAAGTTGATAAAAAGTCTCTATGGGTTGAAGCAAGCTTCCAGAGAGTGGAATTGTGAGCTCTCTAAAAGACTGTTGGATTTTGGTTTGATTCAATCTCCACAAGATCATTGTCTCTTCACACAACATAAAGAAGGTCAGTTTCTTGCAATGTTAGTATATGTAGATGATGTCTTAGTGATGGCTTCTGATTTTGGGCTAGTAAGTGCTTTGAAGCACTACTTGCATGACTTATTCACCATAAAGGACCTTGGACTAGCAAAATATTTCCTGGGAATTGAAATTTCAAGAACTGCAGATGGTATACACTTGTGTCAGCAAAAGTATGTTCATGATTTGTTAACTGACCTGGGAATGGAAACCTGTAAAGCAAGCAACACTCCTTTGCCTCAAGGTCTTAGGCTAACAGGTTATGATGGTCATCCTCTTGAAGAGCCAGACAAGTATAGGAGGTTGATAGGGAGACTGCTCTACTTGAACTTGTCCAGGCCAGATATAAGCTATGCAGTCAACCAACTTAGTCAATTTGTGAATAATCCCTTTACTGAGCATTGGGATGCAACTGTTTCTGTACTTAAATATCTCAAGGGGACTCCATCACTTGGTCTGTATTTCAGCTCAGATTCAGACACTACTTTAGCTGCTTTTTGTGATGCAGACTGGGCCACTTGCAAGGACACTCGTCGCTCGGTTACGGGTTACTGTGTTTTTCTTGGCACTAGTCTCATTTCCTGGAAAAGTAAGAAGCAAGTTACAGTGGCACGGTCGTCAGCTGAGGCAGAGTACCGGGCCATGGGCACAACAGTGTGTGAATTACAATGGATCAATGCTTTGGTGAGGGAATTTCAGTTTCAACCTCTTTTGCCTATCACCCTATGGTGTGACAACAATGCTGCGATGCACATTGCAGCCAACCCCATTTTTCACGAGAGAACAAAACATTTGGAGATTGACTGCCACATCGTGCGCGATCAATACAAGTCCGGTTTTATCCAGCCATCTTATGTGCACTCTTCAGCTCAACTGGCTGATTTCTTCACAAAACTCCTACCTGCTGCTACCTTCCATCGCCTATTGTGCAAGCTGGGTGTGTGCGAGACTCCCCACACTCCATCTTGAGGAGGGGGTGTTGAAGATCATGAGTGTGTGTGTGATATAATTTCTAGCAAGTGTATTGAGCTAGCAGTTATAACTGTAGTTTTTCCTTATTCTTTTCTCTTCCATTGGTTAAAAACGTGTTTGCGTTTTAATAAGTAGGGAACGACGTCGTCTTAATTCCTATCACTTAGCTTGCCAGACGACGTCGTTTGGGAACTGCATGATACTATAAATGCAGCTTGTATGTACGGATTTTGGGTGTGAAAAATGAAAATAAAAATTGTTTCTTAGCTCATTTTATCACAGAGGTTGTGATTGCTTGCCCTTTGTTTCATTCGTTTACACGTGCCGAAAAGAAAAAAAAGGTTGCTTGGAAAAACAAACAAAAAAAAAAATAATTTTGAGTTTGAGGGTGTGCCAAAGTATGAGATGAAAGTGTAATGTTGATGATTGATGTCATTACCTTCTAGTGATTACCAATTACCTCCTTTTCATCAATTAGAACATCCTCAATGTTGTATACACCAAATGGGGGAATCATGTTATTGGTTATTTAAGCACTCGAGGACACGAGTAAATACACACATCGATTTCTACCTACGACCAGCCAAAGACATAGTCGAGAACATAAACGAGCGCCAATGAGAACGGGTATAGCAAGAAAGCCAACAATGCAGTCCAAATCGGGAAAGTCGTTCGGAAACTAGCAAACACTCCCATCACAACACACACGATGAGGATAACGAGCACCTCGGAAGAAAAGTCCCACACCAAACCCCTCATGTAAACGAGGGCCAAGAAGACCGATAGGCAGAGCACGTTGTTCATGGTTACGGCCCCGTACAGCTGAAAATGAACGAACGAGAAGTCGATAACAAAGAGAGTGAAATTCAGGCCACAGGGGACACTTTTAAAAAGGGCAAAGCAAATTTACCTCGGAAAATGTTAACGAAGCAGATCTAAGTTTTTTCCGGCTGGCAAAAATGATGGCCGAGACCGCCTCACTCGAGTTGGTAGCCAACGGCAAAGCAATAAAAGAAATGAAGAAGGTAGGGATATTTGTGGCGTTTGAGAAATTATCGACAGCGTCAACGAGAGGATCTGCAAATGCAGCTGCAATGAGAGTTCCAATCAGCAAAAAAAGCACAGCTTTGAAAGTAGTCCATTGAGGATTTTCGACACCCTCGACAATCTCGTCACTTTGTTCTCCCAGTCCCAGAAGGTCGTGCTCTCTCTTTGTTTGCTGGAAAAGAAGAAATTTTAGTCACCTTAAATATCGTGGTAAGAAAAATAATTTGGCATAAAACGAAAACGAGGTGCTCGTGAGCTCCGTTCGCCTCGAAAAGTGAATTTTTATATATTTTTCTGTAGCTCAGCTCGTTAAAGCTCGAGTGCGGCTCGTTAAGGATCGAACCCGACTCGTTGTATTGAGGGAACAATCAGAGACACAATCCAAGGACCTAAAAGAAGTCAAAATCATCTCAGCCATACTGTTTGAATGATGTATTACATTTTCCAAAACATACAAGAAACAAAAACTCTACATTATGTAGGAAAAGTAGGACATTTCACCGTAAAAGTCGAGCATTTTTGTTAAAAATATGTATGACCGTCAATTTGGAAAGATCAAATTGATTCAACTATATGTGAAGGTAGTTTTTGTGATATGTTTCTTTTCTGTATATATATATGAAAATAAACTCCACAACTATTCTAGTTACTAAAACAGGATAACAAATAGGAAAATAGAGAAGAAAAAAAAGTAACTGTAAAGCAATGTACCTGGTGGTATTCATCAATGTACTTCATTGAGCCACCAGCATTATGAGAGGCTTTGCCACCCTTAGCCTCCTCAAGCCATTTCCCAACTCCTTGAATAAATTCGGGCAGGTCGACTTGAGAGTCGAGGCTGATGTCGAAATCCCGCATCACTTTCTCCACGGCTTCATTCTCATCCAAGTTGATCTCGTTAAACTGAATCCCAACAATCAGAGCTCTTAGTTCTGAGTGCGATAGGTGACCATCGTTGTTGTCATCAATCGCTTTAAACAACCTGTGGAGTACAAAGAATTTCAATCAGGAAATAGGTTAAAAAAAAAGGTAAACTGAGTGGTAAGAACTGGATGGGGCTTACTTTGTCAAGACTTCATCATTAGGTCTCCCATCGTCCGTGGAGAGTTTCCCAAGAGCACGCATTTTTAAATGCTTCAAGATTCCTGATATGACGTGCTTGTGCTTTGCGTAAGCAAGTCGCCTTCTTTGAACCCAAGGCTGGAACACCTGCAAATTTTGAAGATGAGATTGAAATGTAAGTGAGGCATTCTAGTTGATTAAAAGTAGAGAGTGAAAATATTGTTGGCAACACCAAAATGATTTCTCTTTTTTCAGTTTGTTGAAACTTGAAAGCATACACCATGACATAAATACAACATAATAGAAATTAAAGATCATTCAGAACTTGTTTTAGTGCAACATAGGGGCAAACGAGAATATCGTAAATGAGCTTTGTAGGTTATAGAAACTCAAGCTATCACAATATAAACTTTTTTTTTCTGGGGAACGTACTGAATTTGGCCCTGATTGATCTTCAACTAAAACATGTTAAGGTATATACAATCATAACATATAAAATGCAGATAATGATCCCATTTCGTCGTCCAGTAGCGACAACCGTCTTTTTGAGCCCTCTACTTCTATAGAGTTAAGAAAAAGGAATCTAACTGCGGACAGGTGTTTAACCTCCGGCTCTGCTACTGGAAGAATTCCTAACTGAAGAATACAAAATCCAGCCTTGGGAATCCGTTGAGTACCTGGTACAGGCAATAGGATACCAAAAGCGAAGCAGATGCAATCAGGCCAATCAAGACAGTCAAGTGTCTTCCGGAGTTTATGTGCAAGATTTGAGGTAACTGGACAATTACGAAAGGAAACACAGATACAGCCATGATAATGCCTGCATAGCTCGTCCAAATATCAGTAGTAATGCCAGAACCTGCACGCATACCACAAAAACTTCAGCAACTACACAACTAAGAATTGGAACTTTAGTAGTGGAAAAGATGAGACAAACCACTCAAGCTGAAGCCTTTCGTGTCTTGGGAGTCTATGGCAATATTATTTTCGATGTCACACTTCCCAACTAAAATACAGGTACCCCAGATTACAGTGAGTAGCATGACAGTTGATCCGGCTAAAAGCCCCATTCCAACTGACACCTGGCTTTGAGCAACTTCAGGGCTTCCAGACAGTCCAGACACTGGAAAGCAAAAGCAATGCATCAGCAAATATGAAGACATTAACATGAGATGAACTTTTTCTGGTGAAAGACTACGGAAAAGTTTGCAAGTCCTGGTAAGAGTAACAATTATTTTTTTTTTTTTGTACAGGGACCTTCCGGTTTCCGGATCCACAGGGAAACCGACTAATCCGGAATAGAGCCGGGTAGGACCACAAGGGTGGAGTAACAATTATTTTTAACCAATCACTTTTTTAACTCTAATCTAACTCAATTTTAACTCAACGTCAATATCCTCAATATTATCAATATAATTAAATAATACCACTCAATCATTCTTATTCATCACATCAATTTTAATTCAGTATTCATCCACTCACATAGTTTTAACTAACCATCACTTCACACCATTTATCTCCTACTTTTACATCAAATCGACTTTAATTATTTTAATTTAATATAAACTCAAAATCCACTAACAAAATTCCAATTTTCATCTATTTTCCTCATGACAAGCCCCAATTTTCACTCCAAAAGCAACCCAGAGCTGTAAATAAATAAAAAACGCTACACTTTCGAGATAAAGAGAGAGGGAAATTGTTACCGAGGATAAGCATAGCATCAGGAAGCGCTCCGAGCATGGGAAGGAACAGCCCGCCGACGAGCCCCGGGCCGAGGATCTCGAGCAGGAGCTCGCTGCCGGTGGAGAGGTAAGTCGCGGCGAGGAACATCAGGTATCCGTACACCAGGATCAGAAAGAGGTTTCCGAGCGCGGTGGTGGTGCACGGCATGAAGCCGTAGGTCTGCTCGCAGGCGCCCTCCTCCTCTGCCTCCGCCGCTGGGAGGCGGATGAACGGCGAAAGCCTGGAGGCGGGGATTCCGTCTGAGACGAGATCCGATTGGTCGGAGATCAATCGGCCGCAGGACAGGCCGAAGAGGATGAGGAAGGAGATGGTGGCTAGGAGGGGTCTAAGCTTAGGCTTGATTCCGTTGGCCATGGCGGAAGCTTGGGACTGTAGTGTGTATGAGTGTGATGTAATTATCTATTTATAGAATTTAAATAGATAACTATGGATATTGTATAATATATATTTGGTATTTAATCCATTTCACTAAAGTTCGAAAAAGGAAATGGATTTATGGCCAGAAACCACTATTCATTACTCGTATTCAACACGTACTTAAATAAATAAATATATAGGTGAGATAATAGAATATTTTTATTAAATTTGTTTGGATTAAAAAAATAAATTATAAATTAAAGAACAATATTATATCAATGTTATATAGTGAAATCAAAGAAGTATAAAGAGATAAATAGTCGCAACAAATTATAATAATAAAACAAAACTTCTTTTTTCAGTTCACTTCTTAAACAATCGAGAGACACAATTGTAATTTTGGAATCACGATACAATAAAATTAGTTTACTTAAAATCAATCAACCAGCGAATCAATCTTCAATAACAAAAAAAAAATATAAATATAAATATTTTCTTAATAAAGGATCTTAATTGTATTTTTCATAATGTAATTAAAATTTGATAGAATATTTTAATAAAACAAGTATTCAAAATGAAGAAGAAAAAGAGGCCCCAATTGATTTGAGGCCTTAGGCAATGGCCTTGGGCAACTTGTCCAAGAGCCGGCCTTGGTGAAGAAGATCATATAATTTAGGGCTGCAAATAAATCAAACAATTTTTGAGCAGCTTACTCGATTCGAGTTGGGGTATTTCAAATTAGAATTCGAGCTCAAGTTCACTACAAACTGCTCGAATGTACGTAAAATTATATAAATAGCACTCGGATAATTTTTTAAGTGAAAATTTTGAATCGAACTCAAGAAAACTTAGAGTCTATCACATTTGAGTCGATTTCGAGTATTTGTATTTTCCTGTAGAGTCGAGTCGAGCCTCGAGCACCACAGATTCATCAAGTTCAAACTCGAGTTCTAGTAAGTATAAAAAAATCCACCATACATTGATAAGACCAAAACTCGACTCGACTGAAATACGACAAAGTTGTTTTCCTTAAGTTCACACGTAGCCTATCCAATATTGGCCCACCAATAAGGTTGAGTTGTCTCACTTGTGTGAGGTAGTTGTGGGAAGTTGTGCAATTAGTCAGTCTGTACTGAATCAATTGAAAAGAAAAATTAAAAAAAAAAAAAAAAA